ACACACACACACACTTTCACACAGACAAATTCTCCCTAAACAGTCTCATTCACAAACACGCATTCACTTACTGGTTTTCAGCATACACATAGCGAAAGCAAAACTACTTACACTGAACGACGCACACACTCTCAGCTCTGCACACTAATGAATGGAACTCCTGCATTCTAATCCATCAGATTAATTGGAAGTGCCTGGCCATGGATTGAGGAATTTTTCATCCCCCAAGCACAGCACTTGCTCATAGCCTTTATCTTCAATTTCTGTTTATGTTGTGGAGGTAACATGCAGAGCTGTGTCTTGCATAATAGTATGAAGCAATGTTTGTTTAGATTTTGTAATTAAAGAAAAATTCTACCTTCCCATACTGATGCATTTGTCTCTCATCAAGCTGTGTTTTTTCTAAGCTTTTCAGGGTGTGTTTAGTAATTTATTTTTCCTCTCCTCAATTTCCTTTAACCTGCCTCATCTACTTGTAGTGTACTTGATTTAGCAATCATTTCCCTAGTGACTGTTCAACAATGTCCTGAAAGGGGGACTGAGCTTGTCTCATTCAATTAAAGTTTGCATATGGGCTAGTTAGTTAGCGTTTGAAAAAGAGGCACAGCTGTGCCAGATTTCAAAAGTACCCTTTTTACTGTACAGTTACTGAACATTTTACAAAGATGCCCTTGGTCTTTGAAACTAGGATGAAATCAAGGATAAATTAATCTTATCCCAGTGCAATATTATTTAATCAGCACTAAATTTCAGCACACAAAAATTTCATGTGCATGCTTGTCCAAAAGCTAAATGCCATCAAGAATGTTGTGCTAGCAAGCTGAAAGATTTCTTTTTTTGTGAATTTGTGTTTTCCAGATTTATTTCCTGTCCATACTACTTACTCTTGTGCTAATGGCATAACCTTTTAAATAACCTGGAATTTAACTAATATAATTAATTTGAGACAATATAATAGAAATTCCTTGTGACACTACTAAGTTGTAATGCAGTTTCTCACAGAGTGATTGGGAATGCAAAAAGCAATCTTTCACCAACTTCCAAATAAAACTTTTCTCATGGTGGTAATAATCAGTTAATGCAGAGCAACAGGTCTGTGTTGAAGACAAAGGGATCTGTTTCAGCCTTGAGCCTTTGTCGTCTTTATGACTGCTTTCAAGTGCAAAAATTCTTCATTTCTCTCCACTGAAGCAAGAAAAAGCTGTCCTCCCTTTACCCCTCCTCCTTTGTCATCTTCTATTCATCTTTCCACCCTCATTCCTGTCTGATAGGGAAAGAAATGAACACAGGGGCAGTCAAGTGGAAAAACAGACCCTAGATGTGCCGTAAACCTAGACGCTAATAATCTGCAGGGATTCAACAATGAGAAACACACTGAAATACTTCCTTCCCTTCTCTCTCTCCTCCTGTTTCTTTCGTTTCCACAAGACTTCCGTTTTCTCTTTGTCTGTCTATCTACTTCTCTACCATCACACACAGACAGATGCCAGTCAAAATAGGCCTCTGGCATCTTATCAAAGAAGCTTGCTTGTGCAGAGTTTGAGTATTAAGCATTGTGCTGTGTGGGAGACTTTCGTAGACTAATGTGTATGATAGTTTATCATTTAATTGTGCAGTGACTTTAAATTTCAGCACTGAAAATACATTTTTGTAAAAAAGTAAAAAGTTGTGAAAACAGGCGAGGTTTGACTTCCTAATTTATAGTTATCATTATTATTAAAACAGTACTACATTTGTTGAGTAAAATATATTTGAATATTGTTTTGTATACATAATCAATGTTATTTCTAACAATACAGCACATATCAACATACATCAGGTCTGCATATGTTCCTCCTGCCACAAAAAATAACTTATTATTGATTAAGAAACGCTTTTCTCTTAATTAGTGTAACACCAGTGATTATCCAACAAATGAGAATTTGGTCAGATGAGAGCATAACAACCAAACAGTCAACCTGCCAACCACACAACATTTATTTCATTTTATTTTGATATTTTTTTATTCCAGTCTTTTTCAGAGCCAACCGATAAATTATCCTCTGCTCCAACCATTTTCTGATTTTGATATTATTTGACTTTGTGCTCTACTTCTGTTCTCTAAAAGATGTGGGAGCAGCATTAATGCAGAAAAGATGAATCAAGAGAGGTGTACAGTTAGAAGCAAGTTTAACAGTGGGAGTCTCCACTGAGCCTGAGTTAATGCCATCCTGTGTGTATGTGTGTGAGTATTCCTGTAGGGTTAGACTGACCTCCCAGCCCACTCAGTGAAACGGTATCACCTCTATACACCAACGCGCTACATGAGAGAAATCTTTATGACTCACAATACACAAGCACACACTCATATGCATGCACTCTTCATCTGATCTGCACACACACACACATGCAAATGACGTATTCATATATTTGTGTGGTTGCCTGAAACACAACCTGCCTTGCTGCTGCCTTGCTGCAAAATAACACATCTCCTATGTCCATCATGATAATGGAAAAGATAAGTTTAAGCCAGGAAATGGACACCATTTTGGCTACCAACAAGTCCAGGCCATCGCAGTTGCCATAAATCAGGGTGCTTTTTAGAAAGAATTCACAAATTCATAATGATGGTAAAAAAATGTGGAAAACTTGTAATCAAATAATGTGCAAGAAGTCGGGTAATGCTCAGAAGTATTTGGAATGTGCAGCTCAGTTTATCACAAGCCATATTTTTATTATTAATAAAGTAGATGTTTAAGACCGATTTAAAACATCTCCTGGCATAGATAACCTGTATGTAATTTATTTAATTTTTTTTACAATTGCAGCTAGACAGCTTTCCAAATCAATGTGTCATATTTTGAATAGATGCTTACTCAGTGGTACCTGTCCGGAGCTTTGCAAAGAGTCTAAAATCATACCTTTACCCAAAGATGGCTCCAGTTGTAAACAAGTAAGATACTTGAGAAGATTATTTTTAATCAAATGTTAAATGACTTTAGTAGAAATGGACTAGTTAAAGGCACCACATGCTTACAGACCAGGTCACTCTACAAGCACTGCATTAATACATAACTGATCAATGGGTAACCGGAAACTATTTGGGGTTGTTCTTGGATTTTACTGCAGCTTTTGATGTCATTGACCCCAGCATTCTTACTGCCAAGCTTAAGTGTTTTAGTTTTTCAACTTAAGCTATTGCTTGGATGAAGCCTTATGTCTCTGGCAGAACACAGCAAGTGTTTTTTAATGGCATTAGTTGGCATTCGATTAGATCATTTACTGTCTTATTCTGACCAGATTGATCATATTGTCACTATGATGACATTTCAAGGAAGTGTTCTGCATGTTTTACCTTCTGTTATGAATAGCGTTGTTCAGTCACATGCTCTGTCTTACCTGGAGTACTGCCCAGTCATCTGGTCAAGTGCTGCTTACAAACATCTAAAAAAAAAACTTCAAATTGCGCAGAACAGAGCCGCCAGATTAGTTCTTCATTGTTCTTTTCATGCTAATGTGTGTGAGATGCATGAACAATTGTCTTGGCTTTCTGTAGAAGCTAAATTAAAATCTACTATGCTATTCATGCATAGTGTTATCTGGAATAATACACCACACTTCAGTCATACGCCTAATAATAATAATAATAATAATAATAATAACAATAACAACAATAATAATAATATCTTCAATTTAAAAAAGCAGCCATATTGTAAATACCGTTATTATACATACCAATATACTGAGCAAATTCCTTTTATGTGAAAAGCTACTTGGCAATAAAATTAATTTTGAATCTCATCATTCTTAAGTTTCAGGGATGTGTGGCATCCTTTTAGGTTCATAAACCATTAGAGGTTTGTCTCTTGGGATGGTACCAGACGTTTACTTTTTCTGTAACTTCACAAAAGCTTATGACCTATTGATTAATTTTCTAAATCCTTTTCTTTAGTCACTAGCTTTACTGTACAGTCTTGTTCTTCACATTACACTCAACCCTCAATTTCCTTACTGTATTCTTCTTTATTTCTTCAATTTAGAAATTTCACTGAGGATGTTACCTAGTGTGACCTTTTTGTCAACTGAAATGAACTAATATGTCCGTCTGCCTCTCTTTCTCTCCTGCAGAGTTATATTCATGGCAGCAGTCAGGCTCAGTTTGTGGCTGAGTCTCACATCATCCTTCTCCTGAGTATCCTTTCACCAACATGTTTGTGATTGTATGTTTCAATTGAAACGAGCTGCTGCAAAATGAAAATCATCCAGAGCAGTTGAACTCTTGGCGAAATGTCCAACAGCTCATCTTGGCAACAAATTCCTTTAATTCTCCATTTGCTTACAAACAGCATCTACAAAGCCACTTTTTATATGCCTGAAACAACATCCAATTTTGCTGTCTGCTACATTTATTCTCAACACAAACCCTTTGTCATCTGTGTGCATTCTCCGTAGGGAGGCTGCCTGTTGGACTGAGCAAACAGACAATACAAAGACAACAGATTGTTCTCTTTTAACTTCACCTCCTTGCCTGATTTGTTCTAAATTCAACCCCTGATGATAGGCTGTGACTGTGTGTGTCTCTGTGTGTTTGATTGTGTACTTATTTGGCAGGATAGATGTTTCTGTTTGTCTACTTCTCAGTCTGCTTGTGTAGCCGTGTGTACTTGCACTGCTGCGTTTATATGTGTGTGGGTAATGATACCGTTCATTCCTAGCTGTTGTGTTTGTCCCCATGGGAAATAGCAGGTCCAAGGTCACACCTGCTGTAGAGCAATATTTGTTTGTCCACGCTTACACGGTTTATTTTTTTATTTTCTGCCCATCTGATTACATCTAAATGAAACACACACACACATTCACACCTGCTGAAATTCTAACACACTTACCCTTGTTGTCTGTGCAGGTGGTGTAAACACATTTTATGACTGTCAGAGATGCAGTTTCCCCACGGATATAGCCTTGTTTAATTCCTTGTACACATGCACGCACACACACCCCTGGTACCACGTGCAGTTGCATAACCATACCATTTGAGCATGAAATAGAAACACAGAAATTTTATTTCTCTCATTGTGATACACTTACTGGCATACAGCGCAGAGTGTGAGTGTACCTAGCGGCATTACTTGTTCTTTTCATTATAGGTAAATGGGTAAGGATCAATCAATTCAACCAGATAACATGAAAAAAGCATTATGTATTAAAGTAATGAAGTTAGATGGCATTAGCATTGTAACCTGACAAACCTGATCAACCTTTCTTTACAGCAGAGGACTGAAAATGTCTCCAACTGTTGTAAATGTGGTGTTTTTAGTGTTTTACCGTAATCCATCATACCAAAATGATATAAATACATCAATACCTTTGTTTGTGTAAGGCTAGAATGCTTAAAAACTGTCTGACATTGGGTAATGTAAGTTGCACAAAGTGGGCCATGGCAAATCATGGACTTTTGTGAACTAGAATCTCATTTGGCATTTTTCTACATTTAAGCAGATTCAGTGGAGAGGAGTAGAAGCAATTGATTGAAATATTAGTGCCAAGGAAAACTAGGATTAGAGCTTTTACTACCCAGTTTCACAAAAGTCCTGGTGAAAATTGTACCAATCATCCTAGATGCTAGCAAGCTTGCTAGCTAAATTTAAGGAGCAACAGCTTTATGGTAGGTGTAGACCGTTACCAGGTCAACACTGACAATTGATAAATAAGATTCTGATATGGTATGTATTATATATTTATAATTATTATAATTTATTGTACGTGGAAATATCTCTTCTGTTTGTGTAACGCTATCATATCATGTCTGATACCATATCATGAAGACGATGCCTCAGCTCCTGTTCTGTATCTTCCCATGTGACAGCCTTTTGTCTGTGTATGCCATCAGGTTTTCTTCAGTTATGTGGATTTGTATGCAGAACATGCTGAAGAAAAAAATCTAATTATAAGCCACACGAGGCTGTGCTTTGCAGTGATTTTAGAACAGCTCTCTAAAATAGAGACGTTCACAATATTGTATGAACTGTTCATAATAAGTTTATGTCTTCATTTCAAGAAGTCATATAACTTATTACTGAAGTCAAATCAAGTCAGTATCACAGAATTTCTTAATTGGCACCTCTCCACAGTCTGCTGCATCTGTCTTCAAAGACCCTTGGAGAACTCTCCAAAAAATGTTAAAATGCAAAGAGGTTCTTGCAGAGGAAATTCAAAACAAGATCTCCACCTCTCCATGGTCAGCTGCATCTGCAATAGTTAAAATAGAATAGAAATGACAAAAATGTAAAAAGTATTTGCAATAAACAGATTAATCTAAATTGGCAGAACAGATCTCACCTACAGTAAACACAGTCACAATACTTGAGAGTATAATTTGCACAAACGATGGCCATGACTGTGACATGTGTACTCTGTTCCCTTTGTTAGTCTGTTACGTTTGTAGAGTTGACTTGAGATTGTTGCCATGTGATCGCTTGCCCTCTCTCACAAAAAAAAGACACAAAACTGTTTGTGATTCATTTGAAAACACCCTTTATCCTTTTTACGATACTTATGAAAAGAGAGTGTGACCCATCGGCAAAGTGTCTCCTGGTTTAATTTTAATTTCCTGTGCTGTTATTGTACATGCGACTGATGTTATTGCTAATCTGCTTGAGTGCTTCTGTGCACACATATATGTGTGTATCTGTAGGTGCATATGTGTGTCCAGCAGTTCTCCCTGGGGCAGTGTGTACTTCTATGTTCTTCCTCTCCTGTACGCCAGTGTGTTGTTTCCTTGACAACCTTGTCCCAGATGCTGCAATCACCATGGGGATGGTGCTGCTAAATGAGGCTGCCACCTCCAAGGGAGACGTTGGCAAGAGGAGAAGTAAGTAGACATTTTTTTTTTGTAATTTTTCTTTCCTTTTTTAAGTTCCTCAATTTTAGTTAGGGCTTTCTGAGTGAAGCAATTGTCAGGAGTGTAAGCAATGTTTGTGTTTAAGCTGAGTGGCATGATTGTTATAGATTCCTTGTAACCAGGTAGGTGATTTAATCCATGTTTCAAGAGATAGCACTAGTGCTGCAGTAGACTGCACTAAAATTCTATAATCTGTATAACGATGTTTTATAACTAAGACACACAACCAAAACACATTAAAGAGTTAGCCATTTTAATGGGTTTACACATTTGCACACAGATATTGTTCAGCTATAAATGTGCTAATTAATTAAAATGTCCCATAGTCGAAGGCAAGCCACAAGTTCCTTTATGAACAATAAATTCTCCTGGCTGCTGTTTACATTTTGCCCTCCTAGATCTCTCAGACTGCATCCTCTGACTGCAACATTAACAGCAGGGAAATCCTTTTTCCCGCTCAGGATATTGTCTGTCATACTTACCTGAGTGGTGAGAGGATTTGCCTTCTTTAAGACCAGACTTGCACTGGCCAAACTTCATAAGCAGTTATTTCTTTGTGAGGCCTCTTCCTGCCACTCTCCATCACTAGAAAATAACATTTCATTACTTGGCTTCCCAACCTCTTCAGGTTACACTGAATAGGACAAATGTCTTTTGAGCCTCTCCATGTGCTTGGTGCTCACTATCCTAATTCTTTAGTGTATGTGCTGTAATTTCCAGCTCAACTTTAGCAGTGAGTAGCAGTCCTGAAAGACAATTGAAGAACACATGGTACCACTTTACAACGTGCCGTTTCTTTGTGGGTGCACAGACTTGTCCAGATATCATGCGTTTTTGGTTTGAGTTTTTGATCTATTTCTTCCCTCACTTAATACGCAATAAGAGTGAATTGGAGTAACAGGAAGAGAATGTGAGGACGTGCAAGCATAAAAAAAAACTACACATAAAAATGAGTTGTCTTGTAAAGAAGTAAAATGTTTACATCCAGTGTTTACTCACTGTGTGCTTGATTTCGAGCAATAGTAAGATTGAGATGGCTGACTGACTCCTGTCCTCACTTACTCACACACGCACTCCATGCATAAATGAACCATTATCGCAGTACTTTCATTAGTGTGACGTGTATTTGCATAACTGTCAATTAGCTGGAGCAGCTCTGAAAATGAGAAGCACTTGTTTCACTTTCCAGTTAATCACTGAAATGACCTCTCACCTGCCCCATAACTGCCTCTGAATACACAACTACAGTATTTAGATATATCTGTGGAAAAGCTTGAGTGACTTTGGTTTTCAAAGACCCTTTTTATTTATGTCCTCCATGATAGCCTTGGTTGATAAACCTTGACTAGCATATAGATTTGTGTGGTGTTATCAGAATAAACCTGATCTAGCTTAATAAGGAAATGATTTAGTGTGCTTGTTATTACTCAAGTTAATCTTGAGACAATTACAGTGAGTTATCGCATGGTCTCACCTGAGTCTGTGTGTGCGTTAAAAGCACAGACAGTAAGTCAGTTTGACACTGAAAAAAAGCCTCTAATTTTCTTCCGATACATCTAATGTTTTTGTCCTAACATTCATGTAAGAGACACAGTTACTCTAAACAAAAACGAAATGCACAGAAATTACAGTTGGAGTCCAACTGGGCCTGTCTATGAGTTGTCCAATACGTAAATGCAAAAACTGATTTACTATAGTCTCAGTTTGTGAGTGAAGGAGAGTTTAAAGGCACAGTTCAATGTTGATCGGCAAGCTCAGAAAATCAGAAATCAAGGACCTTTTTTTGTCACCTTTGATTTTTGTTATCTAAATAGACTGCTTATTAATAAAGAATAATTTCATTTCATTTCATTCTATTTTTAAACACAAGGCTGCACTTCAACTAATTTGTGTTTTAAGTATAATGTTGGAAACATTATACTTAAAACATTAGTTCCATTTTAATAATACTTATAATGTTAAACAAATGGAATGATGCAAAGTTGTGCTCAGAAGGAATTAAAAGTACAGTTCATCACAGCTGGTGGTAGACCTTCACTGTAGCAGATCAGTTGGTAGCAGAAACGCAGACACACATACCAGAGCAGGTGGAAGATGTAAATCGGTGTGGTTGATAATTCACGTAGATTCCCACAGCACCTGCAGCTAAATCCATACTTGTAAATGCCTCATCGAACACATAAAATCCTAGTTGTGTCTTAACACCTCTATTAACTTATGCATGTTCATGTCTCTCATCTCCTCCCTATTCGGTCCTATCTCCTTGATATAACGTCCATATACAACTCATTTGCAACAGCAAATACATTTGGAAGGAAAAATAATGCCCTAATAGTGATTAAGACGAGTAGAATTTCTATGAGACAGGGTTGCCCCATTTATTTTTGTTGTCATTAAATAATTTGATATTTTGCTAAGTTATTAATTCTGCCCTTTTTTCCCTTTAAAAAACATTTATTTGACTTATTTCCTTTATTATTTGTATCACTCCTTGATCATATGTTCTCTTACCTACAAATAAAGCTCTGTGTATTTGCACCTGCTCTTGAGAAGCTGCAAATTTTCAGTGCAGATCTGACCCTCTTGCAAACCTCAGTCCTTGCACAATCAACCACAGGTGCATTAAGTGGTAGAGGTGCACTTCACTGATTACACTGAAGGTGAATCTCAGATAACAATCAAACTTCTGGACCAGTGTATCTCTGGGTGCAAAATGTGTCTGAAACCTTGTTTCAAAGGCCTCCCTTTTTCATTCTTGGATATAAAAATGGAGGGTCTTCGTAACCTGTCCCAGAGTGTCCCAGATGGTTTAAGTACCAGGATTTCCATGCTATTTGAGACAATGCACATTGTTTTACTATAAACCATGTATTGTTTTTAATGGTGCAATTTAAACAATTTTAAGAAGATACCCTTGAATCTATGATTGGTTATGTTATTGGTATCACATTGCATTGTTACTGGCAGTCTTGAAAAATTAGCACCGTGCAACTTTAATTTGCAAAGAGGATGTCTGTACTACAGTAGCCCTTGGTGTTTTTATACTTCCTCTTTTTATATGCTTTACATATTGGGAACAAAATGTCTACTTTAAGCAGTCAAGCAGATTTCCTCAAACGTCTGAGCAAGAGGCATACAATGTAGAGGTCACAGAGGGGATGATTCATTGATGTCAAATCCGTCATGTGGAGTTCTGTGAAATTTTTGTTACCCTGTCCAAATCAAAAATCAATTCTGTGGCACTAGTGGCCCCATGCTGGGGATTGTAATACATAAGATTACGAACACAGACATGGAAATTACAGAGGTCAGCTTTAAAATGCTACATGTAGGACCTTTTGACATGTGTTGTAATTTCTTTGTCAAAAGAAAAACAAGGCACACCAATAAAAGAATTTGATATTAATCCCTTGACTGAAGGGCAGATGGCCCCTGACACCTCCTGATGACTCTTGTCTGGAAGTGTTGGGTGTAGCACTGTTCATCATTTCAAATGGGAGATGGTCGCTTGACCATACTAATGACATACTGGTTTTCAACCTTTCTTTTACTGTCAAACCAGTTTCTTTATAATCTGTATTATAAGAAGGGAAGTTAGATATTAGATGACCTCTACTGGTAATTACCTCAAACAGGGAGACACAGTTACAAACAAGTGGATTTTAATTAGTTAGTGTGATGAAAAAGAAACTCGAGAAGCCTTTCAATTGCCTCGGTGAGGCCACACACTCATGCATACACATGCACACACTAACAAACTCGAAAGGCAAGATTATCAAATTTTTGTTCTACTTTACCCATGAGTTCTCCTTGAGATCTTAAAGCATGGCAATTAAAATGATAATGACTTTATAACTACCTCAAGACTTGTTTCTCAGTATCAGACTGAACAGGAACACACACTCACATACATCTACATACACAGACACTCACGCATGCATGCTCCCACAATTATCACCACTGTAATGCCAACATATCATGTGTTTAGCAACACAGACTCATTTATCAATTCTCTCTGTGCTCCATCATTTCCAACAGGTCTCTCGCTTCCTTTCTCTGTTCATCTTTTCATTCTCCATCTCACTCTATCTCTCTCCTATTCCTTTCCTTCTCTTCTTACGTGTAGAAACTTGTATTTTTATTTTAATTACTTTAATTCAGCCTATTTCTTCGTATAACCGCCACCTGCTAATTTCAATACACTGAAGTAAACACATCAGGCAGGTTACATTTCCAACAGTGCAAGCATGCCAGTGCTTAAAAAAATCTGTTACATAAAGCACGCACAATATGAAGACACAAGCTTGCATGGAATAAACACACCACTGCCATTGGACACACAAATTAAATAAGTGCATTATAGTGCAGCATAAAGAATAGTCATCTGTCAGTAATGGAGAGAGGATTAGGCTTGAATGTGTAATCACTGGATGCGGGTGTTAAATCCCTGGCATATAGCTTCCATACTGCTGAGTGCAGCTACAGGAAGTTATTTGCTGCTTCCATGCGCCTGTGCGCAGGAAATTACAGTGTGCATACTGTTTCTCAACAAGGCAGTTTCTCAACAAGTAAATGGAGTTATAAAACGAGATAGAGCGAAGGAAAATGAAGGTGAAGAAGTATGAAATGTGAATAAGAGTGACACATCAATGACGGGGAGGGGAGAATGGGAAAGAGAAATTGAAGAGTCAGGAAAAAGTGAGATTGGTCTTTGAAAGAGCAAAATTACAGTAGAGAAGACTTTATAGCAAGGACCCAACCCAAAAATTACCACATCTCTCTGGTGAAATGTCAACATGCTATATAGCAGTACTGATTTATCAGAAACTTCAGTTTCAAGAGTCAAAATGAAATCCAGCCTACCGTAAGACATGACCCAAAAATGCAAAGGCTTATGGTGTATCTTTATGCAGCTCCTAATTTTATGATACTGACTCTCGCAGACCTATGAAGGACCAAACTATAAAAAATAGATGTTGACATATAAACAAAACAAATAATTATGTGATAACAAAAGAACCAAAGAAAAAAATAATTGCTCATTTCCGTTGTTTCTTTATTAAAAAGAACTAAAGAAGGGCAATTAGTTTTCACTGCCTGCACATTACAGCATGCTTCACCTTAAAACCATACAGATATACACAATATAGATGTGGTCACATTTACACAAATGAATGTACGTCCAGTAAGCTTGTTTGTGTTGGACATGGTAAACAAACCGGTAACCAATAGTCCATTAAACATTTATCTAAAAGCCCTGGGGCCTTAATTATCGTTTTCGAGATTAAGTAGAACTTACTCAGAAAACTACACAGAAGTAGTTATTTATAAAACATTACTGGAAATGAGCTTATCACAAAGAAAAGTTGATGTTAAGTTTTCCTGCTGGTTTGTTTTGATTTTCAGACTCCTATGTGTCCAAGCCTGTGGTGAACTTTGGATTACCTTTATGAACAGTGATAAGAAGGATGCAGGGTGTCTACAACTAAAAACAGGATTCAATGTTCTGTAAATAGTGTGTCAGATTAGAAAGAAGTAACCATGGCTAATCCTGACTAAACCCTCTTGTGCTTGCAATATATAAGGGGAAACCGCTGATTGTAAAGCAGGTTCCTTCAATTTTAAGTTAATTTGAGATTTATAGATCACAGGAGTTTAAGTTACAAATGGGCTTCTCAGTTCCTGCTACTTTTGTTATGCTCAGTGTCTTCTTATGAATCGGACTTAAGTACACTGTTGGAAATTATCTTAAAACTAAGTTCAAGTATAAATTAATTTTTATAAATGAGGCTCCTTGGTTCGCTTGGGTAATGTGAACATTAACAAGCCAAACACAAACAGCAGCAGTGAAACAGTGTGGGTGGTTGTATCTTTAGGTCTAGTCAGTTAATGTCTCTTAGCCTGTTGCTAATCAAAGAATAAATAAATAAATATATTTTATATTATAAAATAATAAATAAAGAGCCATTTAGCATCACAATATCTGTTTATATTTGTTCTCCTAATGTGATAGGCTTACCTTAATATGTTTATTGGCTTCCTCATGCTGGGGAAATGTACATTTATTTTCACCATGCCAGTATATCATAATTTGAATTGAGCCAAATCATACAGTCAAAAGAGGGATTACCACCTTTGTCATTGAGGGAAATCATTCAGCTTAAACAACTTGTCATTTCGCCAAGGTCATAAATCACTTATATTAGCATGCTTAGTGTGTGTGTGTGTGTGTGTGTGTGTAAGAGAGAGAGAGTCATTATCTATGGAAGCATACTAAGATACCTCTCAGTCATAATTGATGAGCTATGGGAAATACATCCCACTATAGTTAATGAAGATACACAGACGTTCTGTCGCTCATACACTCGCAGACACATACGTAGATGTGGCAGCCCAGGGAACACAGGGGCATAAGTGCCCTCCCTGGAGACGCACTATCAAATATGCAGTGCTCTCAATCCAGTCACTCACTCAATGTCACACACACACACACACACATACATACACACACGCATTCAGGTTTGTATTACAATACTTGCTTGAATTAGTTATCAGTGTAACCTTTTATTTAATAAATATATATAATATACCTCTAAAAAATATATATTTAATGTAAAGAATGAAAAAAAGTGTATTATCCCATGTTAGTGATGCTCTTAGGTCCTCACAAAAATAGAATTTTAAGAAAGCACTCCCACGCATACGTTGATTGCTGGGCCCTTTTGTGTGTTTGTCTATCTAAGTGTGTGTACCTGCAGTAGAAGCATTAGGACTTGAATGTCATGCCAATTGCGCTCTCTCTCTCTCCCACACACACACCGACAACACAAGACAACCCCTGAGGTTTGTGTGTGTGTGTGTGTGTGTGTGTTTGTGTGTGTGTGTTGAATTGTAAATGTATTATATGTGTGTGAAGTAAAAAAAAAAAAAAAAGGAGTTATAGTTCGACATTGAGCAATGGCTGCAATAGTAGCCTTATACACACATGCATTAAAGATCACAGAACACACACAGAGAACACACAAACCACTGGAGCCCTGAAAATGAATGACAGCACATACACACAAATTGACACTTATAATCTGTCTTACATTTTCCCAGCCAAATCTTTTGTTCTGACATTGCCTCTCTCCCACATACACGCATAACTTTTCATACAAATACATGCACACACACACACACAGTGGAGAACAAGCGCATTTAAAATGCATAACTTTTAAAAGTTATCAAAATCTTCCTGTGTTAATTCCTGTTCTTTTATTTCCTCCTTAACCTCCGAAGTGTCAAGACAGAGGTCGTGTAGTAGCTCTATTGCGTAAATTAATTAGTGTGTCATATACTCATAGTAGGAACAGTTAATCATTTGTATGTCAGGTGGACTTATTTTTGTTCCATTGGTTTGGAGAAGAGATATGCCGGCTGTGCGTCTCACTGTGTGTGTGTGTGTGTGTGTGTGTGTGTGTGCTCGCTGTTGGT